TAAAATTGTTTTCCCGTATGGGAAGATGGTAAAATAATGATATTTGTTCATAGTAAGTACAATAAATTTTAATTTCTTGTTTTGTATACCATGTAATTAAATTATTTACCCTTTTCATTCTAAAGAAATTGGTTTTGCTTGATATTAAATAAATAATGAGTATTAAACTAGATACTTCATAGTTAATTAATTGTAGAAAATAATTTTTCATTTTTAATAAAAGAAATGTCATTTCTCAAAGAAGATAAACTGTTTATTTTCAGATTGCAAGAGTTTGCCTGTAATTTTTCTTTCAATTTTATTATCTATTTTAAAAATAAAACATAACAGTTTTATAATGCTTACGATCTCCATTATTGATGCATTTGAGGCAATGTGTTATGTCAGTCACGTTACCTGCATTACATGTAATGTCAGTCACGTGATGCATTTGAGGCAATGTGTAATGTCAGTCACGTTACCTGCATTACATGTAATGTCAGTCACGTGACCTACATTAGCTGTAATTTGGGTCACTCTTGTAATGGTGGGTCACAAAGTTTTTGTTGCCATATAATAAAAACCACTAATTCAAATGGTCGTTTTATAATTGGAAATTGTACTTATAAGTACATTATTTGAAAAAACCAAAAAAACAACCTATAATAAGTATTGTGTGTTGGATAAAGGAAAAAGAGAGATCCTGAAATCATGTCCACAAATTTATTACAGTTTTATTTGAGCTTTTAACATCAAATATATTCATAAACTATTATATTTTTCACACTTGACTGTTATTTGGTAACCTAAAAAGCTAATGGAATCATAATTACCATAATTCTTTCAAGCTAACTGTGTCAAAACTTAGGATTTTGTGTGTGACCCACATTACACAAAAACCTGTCCCCAAATTTCTCTTCTAGTAATAATTAATTATATAAATTAATTTCAGACTTAAAAACATTATATTTATGAACTACAAAGACCAAACTTTCAAAAAATATAAGATTTATTAATGTAGGTAAGTATAATTTTTTTCAAATGCTGGGGACAGCAATTGTCCTGTTTTCAAGTTTTTGCCCGTGGAGGAGTTAGTTCAAAGGAAAAATTTCGTGTTGGCGTATTAATTATATAGATTTTTTTAACATATCAGCATATGGGTTTTTGGATTTTTTAAATCCCATACTAAATTTCATGAAGATATCTTAAATGTTTTTTAAGATATAGGCCTAAATTTAAAATTGAAAAAAACAAAATGGCAGACATCTTGTTAACCAAATGTTTTTCAAATTGTTATCCTTCATTTTAGCGAATTTCCCCTATAGGGAATAAGCTATTTGTTTTATTTTGACCCATTTAATGTATTCCTGAAATTTGTGTACTTATGGGACACTCTGTGTACCTATATAACCTATATAGAAGTTATTTATAAATATATATATATATATACAGGGTGTTTTTTTCAAAGAAGGGGGGGAATGTGAATGTAACGTTGAATTCAAAACAATTGGGCCCCCTACGTCAATAGATGATTCCCGCAAACTGCATATTTCTATCTATTGCGGTTTTTACATAAATAAAGATGCAAGTTTTTAAAAAAACACCCTGTATATATATTTTTTTTATGTGATGACGGTTTCTGAGCGGGTGATTAAAGGGTAATATAAATTTGCTTAACATTTACTGACAATTTATTTAAATAGGCTATATGGCAAATTTTGGTACAATCAAAGAAGTAAAATTATATAGGTAAACTAAAATGAATCAAGTGCATAGGCTATAAATGACATGTAACACTGCAGTCTTAAGACAAAAAAAAAACCAGAGCTGATAGGCCTACATTGTTTCTGAGGCGTTGGCTTGATCATTCTTCTAAAGAGAGATCTCAAACTGTCGTCAATTAACAGAATATTTCAAACAAACTAAAGTTAAGTTAAGAACTTAAGTACTTTATAGCATTTTTTGTTCATTGCAGTACACTGTTTATCTTTGAAAAGTACTGTACTGTTAGGTTTTAGTACCGTACATGCTGTAATATACATATTTACTGTTCCTTCTCTTTTTATTCTGTAGTACCTGGGGACCGAGCTTTGCTCGGGAAAATCATTAGTTTGCTCTGAAAGCAGTCTTAGTATTGCAGATACATAAATCCATTCCCAAACTCCACACTGCTCGCCTTTACTACTTCCTTCAGCACTCCCTACGTCGTGGACCTGTTTCCCTCCCTTCCCATTGCATGTTAGGATTGTAGATACATTAATGTAATTGCCACAGACATTTCCCACACTCAGCACTGCTAGCCTTACTACTTCCTTCATCACTTCCTACGAAGCGGACCTGTTTTCCTCCCTTCCCATTTCATTAAAAAATTGCAGATACCTTAATCTAATAGTCATAAACAGTTCCCACACTCCAGACAGCTCGGCTTGACTACTTCCTTCACCACATCCTACGTCGTGAGCCTGTTTTTCTCCCTTCCCATAACATTTTAGGATTGGAAATACCTTAATCTAATCGTCATAAACAGTTACCACACTCCGGCTAGATCACCTTTACTTCCTTCAGCACTTCCTACGTCGCACACCTGTTTTCTTCCCTCCCCATAGCATTTTAGGATTGCAGATACCTTAATCTAATCGTCATAAAAAGTTCCCACACTCCAGACAGCACGCTTTGACTACTTCCTTCACCACTTCCTACTTGGCGGACCTGTTTAACTCCCTTCCCATAGCATTTTAGGATTGCAAAAAACTTAATATAATCGTCATAAACAGTTCCCACACTCCAGACAGCTCGCCTTGACTACTCCCTTCACCACTTCCTACGTCACGAACCTGTTTCTCTCCAAACACACTCCAAACGACTCGTCTTGACTACTTCCTTCACCACTTCCTACGTCGCGGACCTGCTTTCCTCCCTTCCCATAGCATTTTAGGATTGAAAATACCATAATCTAATCGTCATTAACAGTTCCCACACTCCAGACAGCTCACTTTGACTACTTCCTTCACCACTTCCTACGTCGCGGAGCTCTGTTTCCCTCCCTTCCCATAGCATTTTAGGATTGTATATACCTTAATCTAATCGTCATAAACAGTTCCCACACTCCGGACTACTCGCCTTTACTTTTTCCTTTATCACTTCCTACGTCACGGACCAGTTTCCCTCCCTTCCCATAGCATTTTTTGATTGCAAATACATTAATCTAATTGTCATAAACAGATCCAACACTCCGGACAACTTTCCTTTACTACTTCCTTCACCACTTCCTACGTCACAGACCTGTTTCCAAACCTTCCCTTCCTATAGCATTTTAGGATTGCAGATCGTAAACAGATCCCATATTTCGTACTGCTTACAATGCCTACAATGTATCGAGCAATCTTCAGTATAATCTTTGCTCAATAGTAGCAAGTGATGCTTTCCCTTTTGTACTGTATTTGTAATTTGCTAGTATACTGTGGGTAGTTGGCTTATTATGAACACGTGCTACAACTTCAAGTCTTTTGTTTACTTTTTCCTTGTTATTTAATTCAACCAACATGGTTACTTAGCAAACCATAAGACTAATGTTAAAAAAATGTAACTTTCAGTTTCGTTTTTCTTCGTAATTAGATTTTTGTTGGGAGTTCTAACTGCATGAAGCTCGTTTTTAGGCCAAAAATAAACTATTTACAAGTTTTGAAGAAAATCGTCGGAGCTGTTTTCGAGATCTTTCTGCAAGCAAGCAAGCAAGCAAGCATACATACAAGCAAACATTGCTCGTATTAGAGTATAGGATAACATTGCTTTGTTTTGTTCACAACACTGTCTTTACTATAGGATTTGAAAAGTAATGTGTAACTTTTAGTACCGTACATGCTGTAACACACTTTCTCACTGTTCTACATTTTAAAATTTAAAATATGCTTCCTTGTAAAAAAAATCAAAGAATTACTTTTTTGATTTTGGATTTTTAAGCGACTTCTGGATAACTGAAGTTCGGATAATCAGGACTACACTGTATTGTTATTTATTATTATTGCCCCTATTGAATTTAAAGTTTTGTGTAAAAGCGTCTTTATGTCAAGGGGTTTGTTTAGGCTACCAGGTATGTTGAATAAATTAATTAGCTGTTTATATTGAGTTAGGCCTATATAGGTTGCACTGTACTCATAAGCTCCAGAGTAAAGTGTTACATACACGGACGAGCATGTTCGCGATTCTGTTGGCGGACACGCTCGCAAACATGCTCGGCGTTTCCAACAGACAGTCGAGCATGCTTGCGAACTTGCTTGCCGCCACCACACACTACTCTTGCTTCTCTTGTGCTGTGACAATTCGACGAGCCGAGCGCCGAGCCCAACATGCGCGCCGGTACGAAGGCTCGCAGACCCCTCACACGGGCGAGCATGTTCGCCGCCAACACCGTCACGAACATGCTCGCGAACATGTTTGCCCGTGTATGGGGGGTCTTAATAATAAATACTAGAGGTCGTCCAGTGGTCAAAGACTCAACCAAAAATATACAATCTACCGACTTCTTTATTTCCACCCCACGCTTTAAATAAAACATGTGATTTGAATTTCTTCCATTTGTTTTGATTTTCTATTTATTTATATTTCGTTGTCATTTTGTCACCAACATGGCAACCCATAAGGCCCATGTTATTTTTTTAATTTTTAAATGAATTCGATGTGCTTATTTTTGAGCCTATTTTACTTTATAAAGGGATTCTGCACATCAACAGGAAAATATCTTTCTAACAGTATGCGTAGAATTTTCCTGCAATGTACACAAGCTGAGAAAAAAGGTTTTAAAGAAACATGCTTGCCTATTAATATATTTAACTTGGATGAGTTTGAGTTTTCCTCAATTGAAATAATAACAAAACAATCGTTAGTAGGCCCTATCACCAACCTTTAGTCAACAAGTTAGAATTTAAAAAAGCTAGCCTACTGACAAAAGAATTTGTAGTAGTCTGCCCTAAAAATTTTACGTTTAACTTCTACTTAGGCCAATTGAGTTTTAGACAACTTACCAATATAAATCTTCCAATCGGTTTTATTGCAAACTTTCCAGTTTGCAAGGCCAAAATGTTAGGTGATGAAAACATAGAGCCTAGGCACTGACTAACTCCAATAAGCTGTCCACACAAAGCGTGGCGTTGCTGTTCGCTGACCCAACTTGGATAGAAATAAACAACTGCATCTTGTGGATCATCTTCTTCCCGTTGACAACGCTCACAATCGTAGACAAAGACTATGAGCAGTTCTCTAAAACAAATTGGGTAACCAAAGTTACTTTAAGCTATAAATACTATCAATACTGAAATTGTGAAAGATGAGATCTGTCTTGCTTTCAGAGTTTGTAGTCCAAAGCGCTGTAGTGTTAATGAAATTGCCTATATAATTATGAATAGCATGAACAGTTTTTTAATGTATGTAAAAACCAATAACTTATATGAGGCTCAAAATTTCCAACCAAACACAACTGTGTAGTGCTACACAATAAATGTTATGCCGATATAAAAAGGTTGAGCATGATAATATTCCCGCAGCAAGTTAAAATTTAAGTTAGGACTAAGTAAACTTATAGTTTAATCATATGAAACGTTATTTTTTTTTTAATAAACTAGGCCTATACACAGAATAAGAATATAGAATAAAGTACGGTAACTAGCTAGTCTTTTCAAATTTTATATTTTAATATAACTTTGCATAAGAAACACACTTCTTAACATTAAAACATGACATTTGACATTTTTAAGTTATTAATTTTTAATGAAAATTACTTGCAGCCTGGACAGAATCTTTTTAACCTTCCATCGGGCGCATCACGGAAGTTACCACTACCACAGAAAACATACTACTATAACCCAGAATGCCAACCGCATGGTAAAAAGCGTTAAGTACTTTGAAAGAGCTTTGCCTGTCAATTCGTAGGCAGCGCCACCAGCGTGCAAAGGTCTCTCAAAGTACTTAACGCTTTTTACCATGCGGTTGGCATTCTGGGTTATAGTAGTATGTTTTCTGTGCCACTAGGTGACTACATTTTTTGTTATAAAAACCATAGTTTGCATTCAGCAGAGCTGTCGCCTGCCGCACCTCTTTCACGGAATCGGTTTTAGCTACTCTTACCCCATTCCCACAGGGTTTCCACCTTAGGTCAGGAAAAAATAGGGACATTGCCCCCCTCCCTCCCGGATAACATAGGCTTAAATACGGGCATAAGGAACCAAAATCAAAACTGTCCCGGCAGAATCGGGACGGTTGGCAACCCTGCATTCCCAGTTGTCAGTCGACATTGGGGAGTGGTTCGCGTCACTACTTTAAGTAGCTTCCGTGAGCGCCCTGTGATGTAACGGGTTTCCCGGAGCCTATTTCCGTAACTTATACTTCCTTTTGATTGATCTTATTTTGCGGTATTATAAAATGGATGAAGAATTGTGACGAATTGCGCGATCGTTGGCTAGAGTTGAAAGGAAGGACAGGGAACAACATTTAAGTTAGTGGAAAGACCTAGCGGTGTGCTTGTTTGGGAACTTTTTTTTAGAAAAAGAGCTTTGACAAAATTTGTAGTCCTTTTAACAAAAGTTAATTTTTTTCATTAGACCATAGTTGTTTTAGTTTACACACTATTGCAATTTTTTAAAGAGCATTGACAAAATAAGTTGTCCTTGTAAAATGATTTTTTTCATAAAACCATCTAGGTGTTTTTATGCTATACAATAACTTAATGCAATTTTTTTCTAAGAGCTTTGACAGAATGAGTTGTCCTTGACACAAATGATTTTTTTCATTGGACCATAACTTAGGTGTTTTTAGCGAATTTCCCATATAGGGACTTAATAGCCCCTAACATGAATGAAGCATGAATTATATATATAAGTTTTCTTTTTTATAAGTTTTTTTTTTTAGTTATATATATACAGGGTGTTTATTTGAAAACTTTCCATATCTGTTGTGTGCAAAGGTAAGGCTTTTAACACTTGTTTGTTCTCATTTCCCCCTAATTTGGACATGCCAAATCCAATAAAATTATTTTCAATTTCAAAAAATGCCCCAAAAGGGCCCAATTTGGTGGGTAAGTTAGGGGTGCTTTTTGAGAAATTTTCAAATGTAAACATGGGTTGAGTGATACATCAATTTAAAGGTCTAATCATCCCTACTATTTTGGTGCAATAAAAATGTAATTATCTTGAACCGTATTTTCAGGGTGGGTCAAAACGTTTTAAAAAAGGACTTTGAAGTTAAGTACCGTATTACCCGAACTACTGAACGGAACAGCGCCAAATTTCTTTAAAAGCTTATTCTTGATCTACTCTTTAAGATAACTTGTAATAAGGGCATTTTCCATGTTATTTTCTAGTAAAAAAAAAATCTGAAATTTGAAGAATAAAAGAAAGTTGAAAACTCAAAATTCTTAAATAGCAAGGTATAACAAATTTCATACCACGTGAAAGGTCCTTTTTTAACAAACATTTGACGTATTTAAGTTTTCTTTTATCTCTTACCGTTTAAAAATTGCAGTAGAAAAACTGAATGAAAAAATTATTTTGTCGCGTAACGGATGTTACACAATTGTGAACCTGCCTAAATAATCATGTCATTCCATTGAAAATTCAGTTCATCTACAAATTTTAAATGAAAAATGCTATTATGTAGGCTTACTGAAGTAAGTATAGTATTTATTTGCACTTATTTGTTTTAATAAACATTATCAGGCAATTTTAAAATAATTATTTACTAGTGTAACGGATGTTACTCTTATTTTGTAACGGATGTTACACTTTATTCACATTTGGCTAGTTCTTTCAAAACTAAACTTTTTACATGAAATTCATAATTCTTTTGTCAGATATGCAAATTATTACTTATTTATTGTTAACATTTATCACATATTACAACCTTAAACCATTAATTGTTCTTATATAAATAGAATACGTTCAAATGCAGCAGCTGGTAATAAGTTAACACAAAGTAGGTTACTAAATTGTTTATTTAAAAATATTGTTTTACCATTGGATTTGTTTTACATAGAACTGACACTCACAATTACTTAAAACTATTTACCAGTTATGAATATAATTATTTGAATAAATTGAACTTAACTGTTCGCAGTGGTCTAGTTTACTAGCTGTATTTAATTACGACACTGGAAGAGGTCGAGTAAACTCATAGTAAAGCCTATTTCCTGCTGCTATTATTTTGGGAGTTGGCAAAATTTTTACTACTTTCTCCACACCAATGTATTTCTCTCCTTCTTCACCAACTTTAAAGACTCATCCGTTTTTTCCATGGCTGGTCAGAAATAAAACACTAACTTCCCCATCATCGGTAACAGCTGATTGGCAAACGGCTGCATAAAACAAATTGTTCCTGTGAGTGTGGTATTTTACCAGAACATATTTGTCAGGGATAATTTGACTTTCTTCTACCAACTCATCTTGGTCAATCAAAGTTTCTACAACTTCACTCTCATCTTTTTGTCGCTCTTCCAATCCCCCAATACTACTGCAATCGTCCTCTGAATCGGTTGAATATACATCACAATATCTCACACGAGTCTTCTTCTGTTTTGATTTTTCAGCCTTGATGACTTGATGTTTTTGCATGGGTGATCTGCATGTTACTGCAGCTAGTACATGATCATCATCTAGCTTCTGGAAATGATGGTATTTTCGTATTCCAATTATTTCAACAGATTGTTCCCATCTTTTTTTGAGCAACTTGTCACCGGTTGCATCAACATCTTCTTTTGAGACAAACAGGGTTGTAACCAAGTTGCAATATGTCTGACATGCATTGAAAAAGTCTTGTGGTGTATTTAAGATCACTGATTTTGACTTAACTCGTATCCAAATGTTTCGCTTCAGCTGGCCACCAATAGCATCTACTGCACCCTTGCCATGTCCAGCTGCAAAAGAGCTCCACTGAACATCTGTTAAGTTCAAATCAGAAGCCAGGTAACAGACATTGGACACTGTATACTTGCTCTTGAATTGGGCTGAGCAATTGTCAGAGAAAACTGAGAGGGTTTTAAGTTCTTCGTACTTAAACTGCTTAAAATCATTAACAACCGCCTTTAAGAAAACCCAGCTACATTCCTTTGTATGTGACATGTCATCACTAACGACAACGTACGATTTTACTCCATGTTCAGACCAAATACATGCGGTAAACAGTGTTACCTGAGCATGGCACCAATGGGCACTTTGTATCTCATCTTGAGATGTTAGGGCAAAGTTTTCTGCGTAATCAATCTGTATTACTGCTGACCCTTTATCAATGTTGTTTTTCATATGATCAAAATGTTCAGATTGGACATTTTTTACAAAACAGTGAAACTTAAAAGCAGGTAATGTCTCATTTATTTTGTCGAGTACATCTTAAAGAGGCGTTTAATTTTCCATGACTTGATACTTTCCATCCTCTTTCCGCCATGATTTCCACTTTACAGTTACGGAGTAGTCAGTATTTTCATTTAGAATAGTCTTCACATCAGTCTCAAAATTCTCGCAAACATTTGTCATGCAACCTTTACTGTCTGTGTTGCAGCATAGACAATTTGAGGTTATGTTAAACAACAGCCAAAGAATTTAAAACAAAATCTTTGTAAGTGCAGTCAGAAACACCTATTTAAGGCTTGTAACATCCGTTACGTAACGGATGTTACAAGATTTAAACCTCTTATAAAATTGTATTTTTACATAAATAGGCCTATGTAAATATTAGGGTATAGACCAACATGTGCAGACCTTAACCTTACTTTTAGAAACTTTCATTGTTTTTCTTTAGACCATTCATATAAAAAAATAACTTTTTCATGTTTTTGTGTAACGGATGTTACATGCGACCATCTTTTCTAGAACTTTTTAAAAAACTCATAAAGAATCTTGCCTGATCATTCATTTTGGTGTTGTCACTTGAGCATAACTTCAACTGCAAACTGGTCACAGTCTAATGTGGTAGTGAACTATGGTGCCTCCACCAGAGAACTCAAAACTTCAGCATATTTACAAAGAGTAATCTGGGTCTTCAGTATAGCAACTTCAAATCATCAAAAAAAGCAGTAAAAATAAAAATATTCAAATTTACTCTTTTTATTTGTTAAATTTTACTTGTACCTCATAGTAATGCATAATTAGTTTAATTCTAATATTAAAAATTACTTTTTCCTCAAATTCCTCTCTTACGCGGATTGGCTGTATAACATTACCGTACCGGTATCTATTTTATAGGTTATACAGCATAATAGTGTAATATATTTTTTGTACTCCCGGAGGTAACTTCCGTGAGTGCCCTTTGGTGTTTGAAAATCAATGCGCCAGACAGAAGGTTACTTCATGGCTTGTAAATGAAATATTCTATAAGTTTTATACCTATAATAATTAATCAGGTAAATGCATAAACATTTCCCTCTTTATTCAAACACACACGGAAAAATTTGCATTGTAAGGGTTGTTTCGTTAGCTGGTTACATATTCACGGTGGCGTCGTCCTGTAATCCACCTACTAGGAGGTCACGAACTGTGAATATTTATAGGCATGCACTGTGGATGCAATACTCCCTGGAGTGGATTAACGTCCGCACTAGTGAGTACTTTACTACTATCCGCAATACTATCCTGATAATTAGACCAATTTGTTAATACCAAGGCAAAAATGTGGTTTGTATTCCACTATAAACTGAAGGTCCCTTAGCTGCCATTAGCTGTGCTGTATGGGCTATTAATTAATAGCTGTCTAAGGAATATGTCGGCCTTAGTCACTAACAAAACCAATTATAAGATGCGCCAATCATCCTTCACTCATATATGGGTTAAAATATGCACATAGTGGCGTCCCCATCTTAAACTTAATTGATTGATTGATTAAGGATGTTATTATGAAAATGAAAATCTTTAACTTATTTTCCATTAAGCATGTAGGCCTACATGCAATAGGCATTGACGCTACACTATAAATAAATACACTGAGGATACGCGTTCGGTAATCGGACGTGGATTAAGTACTTAAGCGTCCGACAGTGGTGTCACCGGGTTGTGAAGGCCCGGAACGCCATTAAATACCACAACGATACAGCCATCGGTGTTTGTGGTGTGGATAGAGTGTTTGGCTGATATGCGAGAGGTTGCTGGTTCGATTCCTATCGGTAACTTTTAACTTTATGTCAAAGATTTTGCTTTGAATGCCATTTCTTCTTAACTGTACATCTTTTCTGTAGAACTTTTGGCATTTATAATTTTATTTCATGAACAGAATTTAACCTTTATTCGACTTTTTCATCATCAGCAAGTTTGGTTAGTTAGGTTAGGTTATGACAGTAAATCTGCCGACCCGACCCCTAATTCAAGTCCGGTTACCGAAATGAATAATATATTAGGATTATCATGGACATTTTAATCCTCAAAAAGAAACTGTAGGCCTACCAATATATTTAACTGTATTTCTGAATTATATTTACTCGAACATGTAAGCTAATGTAAAAAGATGACAATAAAATCAAAACTTCAGGATCAGTTTAGTTATGATCAACAACTGTGTGTTGATAAACTTAATCAATCAACTAACTTATCAACTAAATTAATATAGGCCTAGCCTATAATCCTGTATCAAACTGTATAATTATACAAATACTTACTTAGACATTGTAGTAAAGCAATCTCAGATGAGCACCACATCAATAATACAGACTATTTATTTATGTTACATAACTGCAACTGCAAAACTGCATCCTTTCCATGTTATACAATATTTTGGATGGTTGATTGGTTGGTTTCGTTTCATGGTTTGGTTTGGTTTGTGTTTGTGTTTTTTGTGTGACTTGAGTCGCAGTCGGTATTTACTCAGGGGAGGTATAGATGAGCTTACGGTCGATGACAGCTATTATAGTCTGTCTAAAATAATTGTGCGGTTGGAATTCAACATATGATTTCCCTATCATGGTAAATCTCCCACTCATTTACCCTTTTCTACACTGAAATACCCATTCCAATCATCTGTTTTATATTGCAGAGAGGTTTTTAGGAAGCATTTGTTTATGATTGAACTACATACATAATAAAACTAGAAGATTTATTTTAACGATAAATAATCTACGTTTGATGGATTGTTTTAAATACAATTTCAGTTCTAGTAATGTAACTATACATTATTAAATTAGTTAATATCGTGGTGAACTGATTTCAAAATTCTAAAGTGATTCTTCACTTCTTATTTAGTTATTATTTTAATACCGTCGGTAATGGGAACTTTGTCAAGGTCTCTAGCGGAGCCCTAAGGTCAGATCAGGAAGAAACCCATTGGGTTATCCTGTTTATGCCTGAATAATCAGTGTACAACATTAAACTCGCTAGGTAAATGACAAGTAGGAGCATTCGTGCTGAGTGAGTAAGTGAGCGAGTACTTAGCCTTTAATATGTACCTATAGGTCATGATGATCAATGGAGTCATTTCATTAAACTTGTTTTGTTATACAGTGCATTACTTGCTATAATTTTCTTTTACTGAGGACAAACTAACATTACAAATTGATCATATTATTTGAATGAATGAGTTATGTTTGGAGATACACACAAATTAAACCATTTGTATGTAACAGCTATTAAAGTTTAAATTTAAATTTTAAGTTTATTAAAGTTAAAGCATTTTTCATTCTTTACTAATTGTATAAATATTTCAAATCCCTAATAATAAAAGGCCAATATGCCTTAGTACACACCAAATACAGTAGAAAACAAAACTCGTAAAAACATATAAATATAATTTAATTTTTAAAACCTATATTAAACCACAAAATTACAATGCTGTAAATTTAACAAATGTTAGTGGTAATGTGAACGTTAACAAAGTACTGGATACGTTCCATTACATCATTCACTCTCATAACTGGAAAGTAGATATTCACCATCATCTTCGCTTAAGCCATCAGAGTCAGTGTCATCCTGCAGATTTATAATAAATGCTTTTTTAAATAACTGTACACACTAAAAAATGTGTTTTTTGATTGAATTGTAATGTCTTGGCACCTTTTGGCCATTTCTAATTAACACTAATCAATTAAACACAGACTGAATAATATTAAACTGCACAAAATACCATCAGAATAATCACAATGTTGTTTACTACTAAAATGTAAACAAAGTGAAAACTGTTGTAAAATTATGAACAGTATGAATCAGCTGTAGGCTAATATGTTGTGGTGGCAGGGGCCAGGGAGAAAACAGGGGAAAACAAATTTGTCCTTCAACCGCACATTAAATTCAGACAGAGAATAGCCCAGTCACTTTAGGTAAAAACCTAGACATGAAAGATGTAAAGCTGATTTTTTGCATGGTGATATTATATAATAGGAAGGATGTTTTCTGAAAGTTCCCCGAATTTCCCCCCTTGCTTCCCCTTAAAGACCCCCCCCCTCCCCCCAAACACGAGGTTGAAAGTGTAGTGTTTAATAAATCACCTATATCTTTTTATGTAAACAAGCTATCAGCATAATTGTTTTTTCTTTGAACTCCTTGTTAAATTTACATTAATAAAATAACCTTACATGTAGCATTATCTTTATTGGATGGGGTTTTATATGTGATACAAAATAAATATTATTTTATTTAAAACGTTAAGTTGTAGATTAGGCCAAACGTTAGTTTTGCAGTAGGTAGTACGTCATTGTAACACAACTTTTTACCTATTTTATGAACTTTCCAAAAATGTATAACAATATATATTTTAATTTAAATTGTTACCGAATGAAGCAAAAAGCCGCGTTTACACCGGAGTTTCAAACAAAAAGTTGCAAACTTTTATTGCAAACACCAGTTGCAAACAGTAGTTTCAAATAAAAGTTTGCAATTTTTATTTCATGGTTTTGTTTCCATGTTTCATGAAAATGTTTGAAATAATTTCGACCTTGATTGAAATATCATTGATTGATAAAAAAAAACTCCCACTTCGTTTTCCCATCGTCGGCCCCCGATCCAGACTTATTGCCCTTTTTAGATTCTCTGTTAAATTGAATTATGAGGTTCCTCATCCTATTTTGGACCTCTGCCTTGCTTAAGTTAATTTCCCGTGAAATGTCATTCCACGCATAGTTTTTCTTGTTTTTGTTTTTATAGTCAGAAATAGTTTGATTCCAAAGCACTTCATGTTCTCTATAAAAGCTAATTAACTTAATAATATTGTAATCTCTTCACTCCATCTCACTCAGTAGATCATCACTTACAACACGCACGATACGAGATAAGTCACAACAATAACGAGGTAGCCGTCCAGACAGGGTACTGAGTCGAGATACAGGGTGGTGCGAGTGATCACGTGAGTGAGACAGGAGGTGGTAGCGTAGGGGATCAATCAATCAATCAATCAATTAGTTAAGATGGGGACGCCACTATGTGCGTATTTTAACCCAAATATGAGTGAAGGATGAGTGTAGGATGAGTGGCGCGATCTTGTAGTCTTGTTAGTGACTAAGGCCGTTAAGTGTTAAGTGTAAAGTGTTAAGGATGGCGGAGAAATGTTTCTGTTTCGTGTTTCAACGGCTCATGGTGACCGAAACTAGTGTTGCAAACAAAGAGTTTGCAACTCCCTTTGATCTTTACCGACTTCAAGTGGAAACAAAAATTTCTGTTGCAAACACCGAAAAACTGTTTGCAACAGCGAAAAGTTTCGTCTGAAAATGGGCGTTTTTAGAGATGTTTGCAATTTCTGTTTGCAACTCGTGTTTCAAACTCCGGTGTAAACGCGGCTTAAATCCATGCTTCAAACAGCCACAAAGCGCACTTAGCCCATCAATCAAACTTGTCCAGTAAATATTACTATCTATCTTCTAATATATAAAATTCTCGTGTCACAGTGTTTGTCTGCAAACTCCTCCGGAACGACTTCCCCGATCGTTATGAAAATTGGTGTGTAAATTCTGTAGGTATGCGAATAGGACGTAAACTATTTCCCGTTTCGAAATTCTTAAAAGGGCTCCGCCCCAGTGGCTCTGGAGTTTCCCATGTTAACCTTATGAGAAATGGAATTAATGAATCTTAACAGCTGTTTCAATTAAACAAGTTGGTTCTGTTCTATGATGTTCAATAGCATTAAAGTTACAAGGATTGCCAACAGGGTACAGCACTATTATTTCTTTTACATTTATGACAACAGCTAATTTGCAACCAAAAGGTGAGTGAGCGTAGCGAACGAACTTCAACCTGGAGGCGAGTGAGCGTAGCGAACGAGCTAACCTGAAGGCAAGTGAGCGCAGCGAACGAGCTCCAACCTAAAGGTGAGTGAGCGTAGCGAACGAGCCCCAACCCAAAGGTGAGTGAGCGTAGCGAACGAACTTCAACCAGGACGTGATTGAGCGATGCGAACGAGATCATCTTGAAAATTAAACGTAACGGTACTTTCTTTCCATCGGCCTGTCTTAGGGGAAACCTATAACTTAGGCGATACGAAGTTCGCCGGGTCAGCTAGTTTCTATATATAATTCAGTTTTAAAAATATTTGTAAATCTAGAGTTCTACTGGACCGATTTTATTAATTATTGTGACGTTGGAAAGTTTAACTCGTGTAGATTTGCAAATAATTATGAAAGTTTGTTTTTGTTATGATGTATGGCAAAAAAAATCAAAAAATGCTTTCCATATGAAAACTGTGTTTTAAACACTTTTTGTTTGGGTGCGAATTTTGGCTGCTTATTTTGAGTATTTTCAAGAAGTGCATGGTACCAATTTGTAGGAAATTTTATCCTCTTTCAGAATATCACCTTCCACTCTGATCGATTTCCTCGCTATTTAAAAGTTATTTGCAAAAAAGCTAAGCAACCTCTGAATTTATAGTAATGATGAAATACTGAGTAAGGGATGATATTTTTGTTAAACTTTGTACAACTAAATCTAGACTTCTACTGGACCGATTTTGTTAACTAATGGGTCATTGGAAAATCTAATTCATGTAGATTTGGAAATAAGTATGGAAGTGCGATTTTATCAAATATCTGTGGTGAAAAAGTTAAAATTTATTAAAAACTGCTTTTTTTAAGTTTCCGTTTTCAAGTTTCTATTTGTAGCCAGCTTTTGGCTGCCTTTAATAAGTATTTTCAAAAAATGCATAGTAGTTATTTTAGTACATTTTATTCTCTTTCAGAATATCACATCCACTTTGGTCGATTTTCCCTCCATTTAAAAGTTATTGGCAATAAGCTAGGCGATCTCCAAATTTTAAAGGGTGAGAAAATTCTAAATTAGATATGTTTTTGTTAAACTTTGTACAACTAAATTGATTGTATAAAGCGCTGATTGTATAAATTCACTCCCACCCTTCATTGACAAAGGAGCTGACGATGATGAGGGAAAAGAAAGTTGATATGTACTGTATCTGATAGTTTATTAAACTATCAGATACAGTACATATCAACTTGCCTTACTCTAAGTGTTTTTTTTTTACTGTAATTAAATAAACTTGTAGAGCATATACTGTAGAAGGTGATTGGTACTCAGTGTGACAAACATTTTTTGATGTAAGTACAAAGTCAATGAAGTGTGATGATGCAAATAAAAGGTTCCAAATCTAAAAATTATTCTATGCTTTTAAACTTAATACAGCTATTTCTCAATTACCTGTATATGGATTTGAGTAGATTATGCCATTTTCGTGTTCTACATTAAATTTTGAATAAGAATAATAGAAAATTACGGAGAATCAGTTGTAAAAACCCCATTGTAAATAGATTCAAAGATAAAAATTAAGATTTTTCATAAAAATA